AAATATACAAGAAGTGTCAAGAAACCAACTCAATCAAAAGCTTAAGCTTGTGGTTGTGGCTCAGAAACAGTTATTTATATTCTAGCACGCCCTCTCACGTGCAGTTTTTTTCGAGCCTTGCACGTGAAACCTTAATTTTTAAAAAAAAATTAGGTGGTGCGCACTGAGTTTCGAACCCGTGACCTCTTATATGAAATGAAAGTCTTTCTAAAAATATAAAATGATAATGATTGTTAGTGATAAATGGGGATGGATAGAAAAGGTATTATTGGGAGACAGAGGCAGGTAAGCTTAAAAATATACAAGAAGTGTCAAGAAACCAACTCAATCAAAAGCTTAAGCTTGTGGTTGTGGCTCAGAAACAGTTATTTATATTCTAGCACGCCCTCTCACGTGCAGTTTTTTTCGAGCCTTGCACGTGAAACCTTAATTTTTAAAAAAAAATTAGGTGGTGCGCACTGAGTTTCGAACCCGTGACCTCTTAGTCAACGAAGTTCTGATACCATGTCAAGGAACCAACTCAACCAAAAGCTCAAGCTTATGGTTGTAGCCCAGGAACAGTTATTTATATTCTAACAGTAAAGAAAAATATACTTAGTTCAATTTATTATAAAATTTTACAAGAAGCACTTCCATTATTTGCCATTACAGAAGGCTCTTTTCGTTGAAGGGTTGCCCTTCGTCAACTCCTGAGCTTCTTATTGTCGCTCATGATCATCGGCCATATGGAATTGATCCTTAAAAAACTCGATGAAAATGAACTTTCTCTTCCACGCCTTATTGGTAGAACGAAGACCTTGGATAAAGGACTTCTTACGTGAGGCTTGAATTGCAAAGCAACCCAAGCAATGGTCGTCCACTAAGATAACATCAAACATGTGGTTGAGAAGATTGATGGAAGAGATTATTTGAAGAAAATGACAAATATTAATGAAAAACAACGGTTATTTGACACAAACTTGTTAGAAATAATCCACACCTCTAGAAAGGGTGAATAGAGTTATTCAATGCTTTTATAAAATTTGGGCCATGCTACAATTACACCACAAATTGTACCCCATTTGTACACCGTAGTTATATACAAACATTTTGATGATTTACACCGACACAAGTGTTGGTGCGTTAACAAAAAATTGCACGGACACAAAATGTTGGTGCATTAACAAAAATTAGTTTTTACACCAATACAAAGTATTAGTGCAAAACTACGTGGTACAAAATGGGGTACAAAACATGGGGTACAAATAGCTTTATCCATAAAATTTTTG